TTCAGGACGATATTGCAATCAACGTACAAGAACCGCAGCGAGAAATATCAACGACGAGTATGACCGCACAATCTCCATCCCGTACACGAAGTGGACGAATATACCAATCAGGATTATAATGAAGAACTTCCAAAAGAAGAAGGATGTGTTGTAATGTTGTTTGAATTCGTCGTTTTGTTTTACTGCATCAATTGCATTTTTATGATTGGTACATACAAGACTTTAAATTTGCCGGCCCGAACAATCTGATTGGTTCAGGTTTATATATAAACGCCAATGATTCGCTTCCCAAATGTGATTTGTGTCCAGTGGACTAGAGAAAATATATTGAGAGCATTTCCTGAAGAACCGACTTTTGACAAGTTGAGTCACAGAGTGTGTATGTTGTCGTAGCCTTCGCAACCTGCCCTTCAGGTTACTGTGAGCACCGTTCACATTTCACATTTTCATCAACTCCCAGCATTCCAATTCAGAGGAAGTCATAAAAGAACTCACTTTGTTTTCAAACAACGTCAATACGCAGATAATACGACATTTTGGATCCAGTTGTTTGATCGAAACGACACGCATAATGTTTTCCCAATCATCTTGGGCCGGATCCCGACTGTTTGGATCTGCCAGAATGATCACGGCCTCGGCCGCTCGAACCTGTGTGCGTATGTGTGTGTGTTTGTGAAGGAGGGAGGGGCGAGAGAACGGTAAATCGCCGACACACAAAATGGTATCACTGAAATTTGAACAGTTAGAATGTCCGGTTGGGTTGTTGTTGTTGTTATCGTTATCCCGCGCACTTAAACAAGATGATTACTGAGAAATCGAGTGTGATTTGTGTGGCTATGCAAACCGCCTTGAAAGACACTATGAATGTAGGACACGAAACGCAAAATCGTTCACTTCATTTGTGGAGAAGTTTATAGATAGCGATGCAAACCACAGCCACATAGACAACCCAAATGGATTTTTATTGCGACCCTTGTTCTTTCTGGAAAATGTATCCCCAGAATGCAGAATATAATTGCTTACACTCTGAGTGTAACCTGTAGCTGGACACATGAGTTAGTCTATCATTCCTTACAAGTGTTGAGATTTGAGGTTGCTCACTACCACTACTGAACAACGACCACAAAGTTATGGTAGTTGAGTTGTTCAACAAATGGATGACACGCCGTTGAACATTCAACAAAACGTTCAACAAAATCCGGCCACCATGACTAATTGCTATCTACAAGCACACTGTTGTCAACAAATTTCGCAATCCCCGGATAATAGACATAGTGGTACACTTTGAAGATTGTTATGTTTGCAAAAGCGATTGCTCTCAGACAAGCCCCCCCCCCAACCCCCTCCCGTGTGTCAATTGAAGTAACTTCCAGTTTATTCGTCCTTATCATGAAGGTACGGTCTTTCTTTCACCTAATCCCTCTGAGATATTTGTCCCTGAACTTTTTAAAAATGTTTTCACTTCCACTTTTGTGTACTGGTTACAGAAATGCACAGCAAACGTTCCCGGGAAGGGGCGCACTACGATAGAAACGCTGCCTGGGAAAATATAGCAACTGCGGAGACAAACCGTGGTAGTGGGGTTCGAACTAAGGTTCATTTAGGTAGCTATTATGACTATTTTATCACTCAACCACTGCCACCAATTTCAAATTTTTGTTGCCTTAGGTAAACATCGCGTTTTCTTCAGTATGCATCACGTTGCGATGCAATGAAATCTTCCCGGATATAAATCGTACAGTATTGCGATGTGGTCTTTTCTTTTGAAATTGATCTCCGGAAAGGCTTGTTTCAGACTACCAATTTTTGAAAATCAGGTATCATGAGTAGCATGTTTCAGTGGTATATATCAAGTCAGTTAGCGATCAGTAGTTATTTCATTTATTTATAGGACAGAGGGAGGAAATCGGAAAGCATATGTCAAACGATTGGTTGGCTGAATTGTTGTCACTCGTTTTGGTTGGTTGTCTGTTCTGACGAATCACCTGAGTTCGACCATCCTTGTTCCCATTGGTTGTTCCAGAACGAAGCAATTTTCAGGAAGCATGCTAATTCACAAACACCAGTTCGTACGTGTCACATGATATCCGTTCAAACTGACTTTAAAAGCCCACCCCCGTTTAGACAACTAACTCCTGACTGTAAGATATTTTATCACGGTAAGACCGGTTTAAATTTCAGTCGCATCGACNTAACCGAAAGTATTTCAGCAGCAGTTCAGCAGGCCGGCCGATTGGTTTAGTGTGGATCAATCTGAAAACCAGATGTGAATCTATTTCATCTCCGTTAATGGGAACGGGAAGAAAAGAGCGAATAACACGAGCTGCAGCCGCTAACATGAAGTGTATCAGTGTATACACGGTATGTTACATTATTTTATACACGCATAGCGTTTTTCCCTATGTTCATCCTTAATAACTTCTTCTGTATTCCCGTATTTCGCATCTTGATAAAATTGGATTTGCATTTAACTCGCAGTTACTTGTGGATAGCGGTGTAGGATAAT